ACCTCCACCCTCAGGTCTGCTGAAGCCAACCTACTGCAGCCCATCAGGACAAAGCTCCGGACATGGGGTGACAGGGACTTAGGGAGGGGAGGCTGCTGTGAAGTCCCTGTCACCCCATGTCCGGAGCTTTGTCCTGATGGGCTGCAGTAGGTTGGCTTCAGCAGACCTGAGGGTGGAGGTGTGTTGTTGGATGAGGTCAGAGAGGTAGGGGGGTGGCGAGGTTGTTGAGGGCTTTGTAAGTGAAAAGAATAATTTTAAAGGCAATGCAGTGTTTGATGGGGAGGTGGTGGAGGATAGGGGTAGGTGTGGTCGGAGTATCTGGTGGAGGTGAGCATACGGGCAGCTGAGTTTTGGACATATTGTAGTTTATTGAGGATGTATGCAGGGGAAACATAGAGGATGCTGTTGCAGTAATCCAGTTTGGATGTAATCAAGGCATGGATCCGAGTTTCTGCAGCGGTGGATGAGAGGGATGGTCTGTTTATCTTTATAAACAGCCCTAATTCAAAATTATTTCTATGATTGTACCGTGTATATAACAATATGTCCCCTAATATGTCATATTCTCCACTTACAGGATTACTGACAACTTGCTAGCTATGGCAAGGCCTTCCACAGAAATCATAGAGAAATATAATATAATTGAACAGTTTCAAAGGTACAGTAGTCACTTTTTTGACACCTCAATTAAATCTAAAGATTTGTATTTGGTGTACATCATTCCTTGTTAACATTTGTACGTGAAATGAAGGTTGAATGTTGTCCAAGTGGTTCTTGTGTTGTGTGTTTTGTAGTGAACTTTTGTGTCGGTAACTCTTTACACTGACACACACATTGCACGTCTTTGTGCACAGGTGTGGATTGAAGACGGTCATCAACCTGCAGCGGCCCGGAGAACATGCCAGCTGTGGAAACCCACTTGAGCAGGAGAGTGCTTTTACTTATAGACCGGACACCTTCATGAAGGCAGGCAGTGAGTCTCTTCTTTTTAAAGGTTTTGGGCAAGAGTAGTCTTTATTTGAGAGTGACAGTGTTGAAAGGGGGAGGCAGAGAGGATAACAAGCATGCAGGCCGGATTCGAACCTGGGTCCTCCGCATGGGAGCTGAGCCCCAATATGCCAACTCCACCAGGTGAGCTATATGGCGGCTTGGCAGTCAGTCTCATCATCCTCTCTAGTACATGCCCACTCACGAAACGCAGGGCACAAACAGATAAACATATACCATTGTTGTTTGACCTAAATAACAGGTAAGTGAAACATAAAATCCTGGAGGTAATAAAAAGGTAAACGTGAATGATTGGATATCATAACAGGGCCATGCTCACATTACTTCCCACACAAAAAGCCCATTTATTTCTTTAATTTTAGGAATGTTGTTTTACTTCTGAGAAGGATGGAGTAATTTTCATCAGCTCACATTTCTTTTTGATTTATATAAGTAAAGGGGCTGCACCGCACTTGTAATTTTTCTGGTGCAATGGTGTTCTCTACTTTCCAGGGAGGGTGCTCTGGAATTCAGGTTTTTTTACTGCCACACCCCTCAAACACTCAGTGGTTTTACTTGGCTCTAAGTGAGGACAAGGTGGTACCATCCACCCTTCCGTTGGCTCAAGCAGACACTTTTAAAACATTTTTCAGGAGTTATAATAATAATTGAAGAAAGTGACATATTTTACATGGAAAATGCTGTGTGAACCCCTTCACATTTGTAAAATGCTATTTACCAGGCTGATCTCAAGTCCCTGTTGTGCAAAAGTCAAAGCGGAACACTTTCTAAACGGATAACGTCAGATTAACAAGGCCAACCAAGCAGAGAGCGAAACCAAAGGACTTCGAAGATAACAGTAATAAATGTATCATCTCATTCATATCTATATAAGTAATTCAAAGAACAAATATTATGACATTACAAAGTTGCATGTTACTGTATGTGGGACTGGATACATATTTACCCATTACATTATCATTGTGTATAAAACATTTTTATACCATAATGACACAAAATTGCACTGCATAGCATAATGAAAGAAAGAAAGAAATAGAACTGTAAACAAAGGAAACACCTCTCAGGCAGAGCTGAACATTCCTCCGTTCTGTTCATCAGTAACCTTTTCTGGATAAGAACAATAAATATAAGTTTGAAGTGGAAATCGCTTTTGATAAAAGTTAAATATGTAACATGAAATTCTGGTGTACAAAACGATCAAAAGCGACTGACTAATTATATAACACAGCAGGAAACATTGCGAAATAGATCCTTTTAATTAGTTGAAGACATTCTTCTCAGATTAGTCAATTAAAAACTACATTTCGCCTGGTGGAGACCAGGGGAAGTGCTTTAAACCTCAATAATAATCTCAGATACCTACTGTATGTGTGAGTATAATGAAGCCTGTGGGATAATCTGTTGTCATGTCTGTAAGGGCTCAGGTACACATTGATCATCTTTGTATTATTCCGATTTTGTCTGTTTCAGTTTATTACTACAACTTCGGCTGGAAGGATTATGGTGTGGCCTCTCTGACTACAATCCTTGACATGGTAAAAGTAATGTCATTTGCAGTCCAAGAGGGGAGAATGGCTGTCCACTGCCATGCAGGTCTTGGAAGAACAGGTTTGTAGCACTTAATCTGCTTTTATGCATGTAAAGTACAAGTTTTTTATTTCTTAATTTTTTTGTCATATAGGTGTGCTGTTAGCTTGTTACTTGGTTTTTACATCCCGGATGAGTGCTGACCAGGCCATACTGTTTGTGCGAGCCAAGAGACCTAACTCCATTCAGACAAGAGGCCAGTTGTTGTGCGTCAGGGAGTTTGCCCAGTTCCTTGTTCCTCTCCGAAGCATCTTCTCCTGCGCAGAACCCAAAGCCAGCGCTGTCACCTTGTCCCAGTACCTTACACGGCAGCGTCACCTGCTGCACGGCTACGAGGCTCGACAGATGAAGAATGTGCCAAAGATCATCCAGCTGGTGTGTAGGCTCCTTGTTGACATTGCAGCCAACAGACAGGTGGTGATGGAGGCGCAGATCCATGACCTAACAGCTGAGTTGGAAAAGACCGTGTCCCAGCAGGCCCTTCAGCAGCTCGGCAAGGAGATGAGAGGGAAAGGGATTACTGTTCGACCTTGTTCCTCTGTTCCTCTCAGCCCACCTGCTCTGCATTCCAGACCTTCACCTGATAAACCTCTGACCAGGGATAATGAGCTGCTCCATCTGCAGGCATCCCTGTCCAACTACAGGAGCCTCAGTTACAGCGATTCGGTTCTTGACAAACGTGTACAACAGCAACAGCACTTAGGACCTCTAAAGAGCAACAAACCAATCAACTGCCGGATCAAACATTCCTTGTCTCACAGCAGCCTTACAGTCGGTGTCCCTGCAAGATTTGATGACTTTTCTCCTCAGGACATTATCAGCAGCATTCAGGGCTCCAATATGGAAGCAAAGCAAGACAATGGGTCCTCTTTGTTCAAAAAGCAACTGCATGAGGGGCACCAGAGTTTGTCTCTAGATCTGTCCAAGCAGGCAAGAAAATCTCAGTGTGCTGCCACACTGCCGGCATTGTCAAACCGCAGTGAGGTGGATGTGTCAGCGGGTGGAGCAGACATCAGTGTCCAGTCTGATCTTTCTCCAGAGGGAAGATGCCTGCTGGTGGCCCAAGCTCTGGCCATGGACCAGGCAGACAAGGATTTCACCTCCAAGGTCTCAATATGGCAGGTAGTGAACCCCACATGTACAATACATCACTAATGAGACCAGTCTGGACAAGCCTCATTGTCAACTATAAAAGCCATCATAACAACCACATAATGATAAACAAAACAACAGTGTTCAGTTTTAAAAGCTTCACAAGCTATTCCAAATGAAAGCTGATTTCAAATGTAAAAGACACCAGGACAGCGTGTCCTATAGTATATGAGTCTACTTTACTACAGTCTAGTGCTATTGACATGATATTTTCACCAGATGTCGGTAAAACCCATGCACTAACCACATGCAAGGAATCCAAAACAAATAAGTTCCCGGAATACAGTTATGTGTAATAAAATGGAATGACACACGGAAAAAGTATTGAAAACGCTTTCTAAATTGTATGTAATTTTTCTCCCAAAATGGTTTCAGTTTCAAAGCCTGATAAAGAGCGTTATCACATTATCACATCAAATATAAAATAAAACTGTAAAAAAATTAAATAATTTAAAGTTTCCCAACATGTGCTGAACAGGCTGAATATTTTGATATTTGAATGGTTTCTGTAGCTGAAAGTGTGCTGAAGTTATTCAGAGCCTCTTTCAATGATAAGAAGTTTGCCAGTGCCGTATTCTGAAAAACAGCCCCGCACCATGATGTTCCCACCTCCAAACTTCACCGTTGGTATGGTGTTTTTTGGTGATGTGCAGTGCCATTTGACCTCCCAACATGGTGTGTTTTTATGGCATCCAAAGAATTCAGTTTTGGACTCATCTGACCAGACTATATTCTCCCAGTATTTCACAGGCTTTTCTTAATGTTGTGCATCAAACTTTAAACGAGCTTCAACATTATTTCTCTTCATCAATGGAGTCTTGCGTGGTGAGCGTGCATACAGGCAGGAGAAGCTTCACCTTTCTAACGATACAATGATCCCAGACAAGGCAGAGAGTCTCTGCAGTGGCAAAGGCCAAGTACACATTATTTTAAAGATCTGCTGATAATAATTGTGGCGGTTAAAATCTACTTTAAATATGATTTTGCTAAAAACAAATACTGACTAGAAAAATGTGTTTAGCATTTGTAATCCAGCCTATTCTTAAGAGTCTCAAGGGGGTTGGGGGAATCTCAAAGTCCAATGTCTTCCCGGATTTAAAGCTGCACTGTTTGCCTATTGTTCTCTCAGCTGAGTGCTGCTCTGTTTGGTGTTGTGCAGACAGAACTGAACTCAAGAGAGGGATCGTGGGAGAGGCTGTGTATGGAGAGAGATCCTTGTGTCCTCTCCGCTCTCATGTGGTCGTGGATAGAGCAGCTCAAGGATCCAGTCATCAGCCGTGAGGATGTGAAAGCCCTGAGGAAGAACCATAAGAACCCACAGAACGCCCTGGACTCACTGGAAAAGGTACCCTACTCTGGCTTCTTCCACAGCATCACACAGCTGTCTAACACTGTACTCAACACTGTCAAATTATTTCTTTCCCTTTATTTTATTATTGCTTTATAGGGTGTTGATCAAGTTGCCAGCAGTGTTTTGACAGTTCGGCTTTTTTTTACTCCCACCTGGGGCTGAAGGAGTTCCACTGTGACGGATGAGTGGGACCTTTAAGAGCGTCGTTAATATCTGCTTTGGAGAGCCAGCCTTAGCTTGCACGCTAATTATTTGATTGCATTATCATCCATGCGTAGAAAGGGGTAACATTGTACCATTGTCATGTCGGCTCCCAGACCGTAGTCGCGGAAAAGGGGGGTTACTCTCTGCAGACCTCCCGGGCCCGAGCAAAACATATTTGGTTCATACACAAGGAATAAGGCAGGCAGGTGAGCTCTTCCATTTAAAATGGTAAAGATATACTGCAGAAGAATGAACTAAATATTGATTTACCGAGGTTCCGGTTATGACACGCAGCTGAGAGGTCGGGCGGGACGAGGCTCCGACGAAATTAATATATTTCTACCATATTTAGTATCCAAATCGAGCTACTTGTGACCGAAAACATTTGCCAATATAGGCTTTATTTCGGATAATGTCGAAAAATCGAGGGAGAAGACAGAAAGACGATAAAAAGACAGAAATTGGAACTCTACACGAGGACATCACGGACGAACAGACACCTAGCGATAGCACGATGCTAGCCCAGGTGGACTATAGCCAGGATGAGAACCAGATCTTAGCAGCCATACAATCCATGAGAAATGACTTTTCTGGACAACTACATGAAGTGGTTTCTTCCAACCGAGAGATAAAAGAAGCTATCGGGGCATTTTCTGAAAGGCTCACAGAGGCAGAAACCCGCATTAGCACAGCGGAGGACCAGATCGCTTCGCTAGCAACCCAAGCTAATGCTACGCAGAAAACAGTCCAGAAGCTCATCTCACAGATGGAAGAGCTGGAAAACAGACAACGCCGCACCAATCTGAG